AGATTTAAAAATACAATTTCAAAGGCGGAACATACAGGTTAACTTATTTATATATTTTTTTACAACTACCCGACATTTACAGTCGTGTTCCGTGGGGCATAGTTAAAGTATAATGTAAATATAAGTTAACAAAATATATATTTCGCGTTGTAAACCGTTAAAAGTGTTCTACTTGTGGTTCTGCTAACATGTGCACTACTCGCGTGAACTACAGAAGATATTTTATAGATTTTTTTCGTATATTACCGCCGATTTATTATTTTCAATAGCTCAGGCTGGCTACGCTACACTCGAATCAATATTGTCCTTAGTAATATAACACTCTGTGGTCAGCGCTTTGACGTCTAAATGTGTTTTGGCTTTTGTGAAACATGCTTTAACCATTCGGCTATAGAAAGTTATTAACTATTTATTTTTTGGTGCGTAATAGCTCCATAGCTCCATATGAATTAACTAGATTATTTTTATCCAAATATTAATTATAGTCAATACTAGTTGGTGCCTAAATGAAATCCCATTTTCCCTGTATGGGGTTTGGGACATATACGTAAATCATTAGTGATGGTGGTGTTCCTTTCTCAAATCTTAAATAATCTAACTAAAAGAATAAAGCGTTATCGGGATTTGAATTCAGAACATCCCCCGCAATATGTTCAACCAAGAACCTTGATTTTTCCTTATAGGATTGACATTTTTTTTAATATAGAGGAGAACGGACAAGCTTGTGGTTCACTGGATAGGTGTATACCCCAGCTATAGAACATGTATCACCTATTTTAGCTACTTACTGTCTATAGTTTACGCGAGTAGTACATATTTAAATAAAACACTGTAACGGTTTAAAACGCGATATATTACATATTATTATAACGCGAGACACGGAGCCGTGACCGCGGCTGCCGCAAAGCATCCGAAACGTCGGGCCGAAGTTAAAAATTATTTTCAAATAAGTTTACCTATTATATCGCGTTTTAAACCGTTAATGTGTTTTATTGAAACCTATTTTAGCTTCAGATATTTAGAACTCCACAGACTGAAATCGAAACGCGATTAAACTTGGCGGCTTTTTCATCTGCGGATGGTGGTTCGTCACCCGGACGGAATCTCGATCTCTACCATCCATTTAATATACAAATTGTTTTCCAATGTGTTTTAGAAAAATTATAAATTGTGTAGAAACATGTTATACCCGCTAGGAACCGAACCCACGACCCCTTTGTTTAGTTACACATTGCTACCATTAATGCAATCACACATTTTTGTTCTCACTTCTTCATCGTTCTATAATAGTTAACTTGACCTTACCAGTGTACCGGTAGTGAGCCGTAAGCGCAACCTGCCCATTACATAAATCAATTCGGGAAGCAATCAAAATAGTATTAAATCAATCGATTAAGCTCAGGTGCAATGCGCGCGCGCACCGGAACGCCACCTGTGTCACGGTTCACGCAAAACGCTTCGCGGTTTACCTAGCCGGATTGTTGTAGGCTCTATAACCCCTACTATTATTTATATAGACAAACGATGACTAATTTAGACTTGGAGGAAATTATAAAAAAAAACTTAACTCTAGATTGCCGTCAAGTAATTTTGACTGCTAAATACTGTCTGTAGTTTACGCGAGTAATAGACATTTAAATAAAACACTTTAACGGTTTAAAACGCGATATATTTCAGTTAAACTTGTTTGAAAATTTATTTTAACTACGGCCCGACGTTTCTGTAATATATCGCGCTTTAAATCGTTAAAGTGTTTTATTTAAATTTTGACTGCTTTCCAATTTAAATTCAGAAAAACAATTGTGTATAAACATTTTGTGACTTTTTGTACGACAATAAATACGTTTTCTAATAAAGAATAAGAATTAATAATTAAGAGGGGTTAGTTGTCTCCCTCCCTCTTTTATTTCCGACAAATATTTTATACCTTATTCAAAAATTATCCATTAAATTTTTGACTGTTTAAACTAAATATTAACTTTTTTTTTTAGTTTAGTTACTAAACACTCGATTCCAAAAACTGAAAAACCGTTTAATGAAAGAACGTTGGGCCGTACTTTAAGTATAAATAATAAGTTCGCGTATTAAACCGTTAAAAGTGTTTTATTTAAATACGTACTATTTGCCATTAGTTAAGTTATAAACAGTAAGTGTTCGCCCTATGCCCCAATGGGGGATTTGGGATTTTATCATACAGATTGTAGATCTCAAATATCTTATTTTGAAATAACCAACCCTTCACTTACTTCACTAGAGTAATAAATTACCCCTTAATATAACTCAACCGAGGGATGGTCGCGTGTCAAATGAGCCAAATTATTGTAATTATGTTTTCAGGCGCATTATAAATATTGTATAAGGGTTGTGGTAAGTGCTTTTAAACCTCATAATGTGTCTTTGAGCTTCAAATTTGAATTTGATTTCATCTTTTTGAGTGTAATTGATTATAATTTTAATATGTATACTATACTTTCCATGTAAAATTGATTTTTATTTATTTTATGGATAACCCAGAACTAAAATTCGACTAAAATTCGGTTAAAATTATTTAGTTATTTTTATAGTTAAATAAAATCAAACAATGTAGTAACTGGCTAAGTAAGTTTTGTCTGTCGCTTAGTATTACGCATTTAATAAAGCAACAGTTTAAAACGCGAAATATATATTTCAACTACAGACCGACGTTTCGGACACTTAGCATCAGCCGTGGGCACCGGGTATAAAAGTAAGTTAACTAATGTAATTCGCGTTTTAAACCGTTAAAGCTGCTAAGTACTTAGCACTTTAGTTATCATCCTTTATCAGCATCGGCAGCGATCCAACAGCTGACTTATAAGCCTCCTATGAGGGTCAAATCTTTCACTTCTTCACAGTCAAAGGAGAGTACTGAATATTTTTTGGTGTACGGAAACGAACTGCCGACAACCGCAAACAGAAGACATCTATCAGCTTTGTATGTAAAAACCAACCGCAGCGTTGTGTACCTACGTCACATTCGTGACGTAACAATAGACAAAGAGCTTGGTCGTCGACTAGTACATTTCACACGATTGTTTTTGAGTACTTTCTCTGAGTCTTAACTTATAGTTCAATAGTTATAGGCCGTGTCTTGTAGTTTATTAAGCATAAATATCCCAAGTTCGAATTTCGGAAAATTCTTTTTTTAATATAAAAATGTTTCGCCAGATCACAAAAACCATTGCTTGCCAGTTAATAAAATTATTAAGTAAAACGGGTACAGATGAGTCTGCTTTATGTCCACGTAAGGTGGCTCGTTGTAGCAATGTAAAAATTAACGGGTCATGGGTTCAAGATGTTTGTAATAAATTTAAAACATGTTGGACTTCGTCTGGAAGCCTGGATATTGCATGGGCGGAAGGACTTTATTAAACGAATGGGGTTACAAACCACAGTCCGTAGATGAAAAAGTCACGAAGCTTAATCTCGTTTCGGTTGGAGCCTGTGGAATTCCGAATATCCAAATCTAAAATAGGTCCGGAGCACATCTAGTATACATGTTAAATGACTGGGGTCATTTAAATAAAACACTTTAACGGTTTAAAACGCAATATATAGTTATTAAACGCGATAGTTAGTTAAACTTATTTGTAAAGGATTCTTAATTCAAGCCCGACGTTTCGGATGCTTTGCAGCAGCAGTCACGGGGAGACTGGGGTCATCTACCGTAAATTGAACGCCTTGCTTGTCTGTCCTCCTCCGTCATGAAAAGACTTACTTTATGTATAACGTCATAGGTCTATAAGGGTTGTAATAAAAAAAAAACAAAATTTTATAAAACCTCTTTTACTTCATCATTAGAGAGTAAATTAAAAGTACAAAATATTACAACAATACGAACGAACGTCAGTTACTTTACAATAGTTTACAAAATTATTCCTCACTTTGGCCATGGCGATATAACAAAAAATTTAATTAACAAAATGACACTTAAGGCAAGATTAGTTTAGTGAGCATTATTTTAGCGTAAGAGCTGGTTACACGTTATTTCATTTAAGTAAATTTTGTGTTCGTACGCGATAGCTTGCAATCAGCTCTTAGTTAAGATTACAAAATTATTGTCAATCATTACATAATACTTAAACATTATTACAAAAGTACAAAATATAAGTGTACACTTACACATACGTATGGGTAAGGAATGTTGTATGTTATATCATACAAAATCGTTAAAGTTTGACTGAAATTGATGACTGTTGATGGACAGGGAGACCGGGGCAGATTGGCATATAGCTATAAATAAGAAAAAATAACAAAGGAACGAGTTATGATACCATGAAGACATAATTATAATAAATATGATCGACCCGTCGAATTTGGTTCGAATATTCGCTACCACGAGTTGGTGACATTATCGGTCAAACGAAGACTGACAAAAATCTAAGGAAAAAGGGCTATACAATTTATTTATAACACTTAAAAAAACAACTGAATCTTGAATACGGATTTAAGTAAAATATTATATAAATACAATAATAATTTGATGTAGGCGATTCTAGGTTCTAACTTCAGTCGTCGAGGTATCGATTCAAATGTTATTAATAATTGTTAATATTACATTATTTAAGGTATTTACGATTAATATTGTTAATAAATTACATTTTAAACATTCCATAATTCTAATTATTTACAGTTTTGAACACTATGAAAATACGATACATTTGTACTTTTAGTCGCGTTCTTATTAATCTATGTGGCAAAATGAGATATGTCTTGAAAATGCTTAGTTTAATTGTGATATGAAAAAGCATCGATCGATTTCGGGATTTTATGCCGACAATTCTTTTAGAAAGCATTGATGATTCATCTACAGTTGCATAGAAGGAGGCACAGGCGAGCTGTTTTATTATTAATCTAATTATTGTATGTACCATTAGATAAGGAAGACAGTTATCTATAATACTATGGCGTTATGGTGTAAAATATCTATAATCAGTCTTTCGTTCGGAGGTTGTCGTCACTAGGGCTCGTTACGTCTTGAATCACGAAATTATACAGTTTTTATCGTGTTGCAGGTTTTTCCTCTGTCGTTCTCTCTTAGCACAGGCTACAGCGTCGTTCGGCACGTACGATATCCTGACGCCGCCATACGCTCGCCTCGTCGGCAGCGTATACGATTCTGATGAAGACGATGACGACGAACACGTGCTGCAATAACTGCTCGCGTCGTCGTCACGAACTTTCTCCCTCTTCGATCTCGGTGGATCGTCTGGTTCGAACGCTTCATTGTCCCCACAAAACCGGACGGTCCGTCCCCCTCGAGGCTTTTTACTTTTACCATCGACTAAAGTTAGCTCCGGCATAGACGTGGAATGCCCCGGCGTCACTACAGCCTGAGCTTCCACGGGGTGCGGAGGTCTCCAGTCTTCTTCTGTTTCTTCTATTGGGGTTGTTTGTATTTGATGATCTGTCATGGACTGCTCCAGCCTTAAATCAGCGAGCGCTCTATCGAGACTAAGACTGGCGTGAGGCAAAGGAGGTGGGTGTGGCGGTGGGGATTCTGGGGCCATCTCCGATGTAGCTACAGACGCACTCGGCTCAGAATCCGCATCGTTGTGCGGAGACGGTTCCCTCTGGGGCGTTCTCGGTGGTGACTTTGGTGAGGAAATTCTCCTAGGTCTAGCGGCTCTATTAGGCCGTGGTCCTGGTCCAGATGAGTCTGACGGCGTTGGCGGTTCACCTTTGGAACAAGCGATAGAGCAAAAGATGGCACCTTTCCGTGGAAGGAACGGTCGGCCGAGGAGGCTGGCTCGGCAGGTGTGGCATGAAAAGCATCGTTCTGTCGCGTGCCAGTGTTGTCCTTCGTGGGACATCTGACCTTGGTCGACTCCGATGGGCTCACCGCATGCGTCACAGTACTCCGCGAAACAGTTGTCGAAGCAGGGCAGGCAGTAGGGCCGTGCTTCCCTCATGATGTACCGTTGCCCGCCGAGTTGCCGAGCGCACTCTGCGCAAGCGAAGTGTTTCATGTGCCAAGCTCGTCCTTCTGCTTCTGTACATTCGTCAGCCAGAATAATCTGCGAAACAAACGTTATTTCATGTATCAACATCGTTTATTAGTTGCAGGGTTACGAGGGTACATGAGGTCCCCCCCCCCATTAAATGTCAAAAATAGACTAAATTTTTACGTCGTATATTAATTTTAATTGTAGCCATTTTCATGTCATTATATTGTTTAATTAATTTAAATTAGGAACCGGGCGAAATCTGGGAAATTATCATAATTGGATTGGATGTGTAAAAATTAATTGTCCATTATCTTTTTAACGCGTACGTTCAAAGACCGGAGTCTAATCCTTTAGCTATTACTGTGCGACTAGTTTCGTTTATTGCCGAGTAATTACAAATAATAGAGACGCGAAATAATTATTACAGTATCTAATTTGATAAATTAATTGAAACAAATTATGTTCCTATTATAGACGGTTCAACGGTGATTTTCAGGTTAGCACATCGAATATTTTTGGAACTCTTGCTTCAGATAACTTGCTCTTATTTCGTGAAAGATGCCCTCAACGCTTCAGTAAGATAACTAATTAATTACCCGGACAAACAAGTATAATTGGTGTTCGTTATCAGCGCGAGCGCAGCGGGAACGGCCAACAATGGCGGAGAATTCCCACAATCCGTTCATTAGTGTTCTTTATTAATAATATTTTAAAACGGTACCAACCAGTTAATGCAACATGATTGTGAAATCAAATGCACTGTCAATGGGTCTCAGTTTGTTAAAATAAATCTAGTATTACTGCCTTATGACTAGATTAAGTCTGGGGTTTAAAACCTTGGTCGAGGTGGTTTTATTGTACGAATTGAATTGAAGTTGAATCGAGACCAACTCTCTAACTCTGGCTCGTTGGTGTAAAGGCAATGTTTGGCTAATAATCAACTGGACGTAGGTTTGATTCCCACCGGGCCCAAAATGTTTCTAATCAATTTATAATTTTACTGACACATGTTGGAGTTCGTCTGGAAATCTGGATATTGAATGGGTGGTGGGAATATCGAAATTCCGTCGGGGTCACGAACCCCCAGTCTGTGGGTTTCCTTGTGGATATGTATTTCCTCTATTCCTATCATAAACAGTACCTTTTTCTCGTGGAAAAGGGACTTTATCAAAAAGCTACGCGCTGCCAAATTTTTTAAACATCTGTTTGGTTCTATCGTCAAGTGTATTTAGGCGTGTCTGCGTCTGTCTTTTTTTATTTCAGTAGCTAACGGAAGCTATATTTCCCCAGGACCTTTTATGTTCAGATGCCTCATCGAGCCATTGAGGTTATATTACTGTTGCTAAGCCAGCGGTCAGGTCAAACGCTGATCGCCTGGGAGCGGCTATCGGGCTATCAACTTTTCGCAAGCTTCTATTGTCTCAGATTTTACTATCGGACGTATAACGTAATTTACTTTTAAAATGTGCAATGGTATATAATTTTATTTAACTAAACTAATATATAGCTGGGCCAATGGTAAGAATGGTATAGCTAGTAATCAACAGATTATTTACCATATCATTTATATTATTTTGTACCAGTTCAATACTCGTCGGGTACAAATAATATGAATTGATTTGAAAGTCTATCTGAAACTGGTACAATAATAGGTAGGCATCGAAATTCGTAGTATGTAGAAGAGCTGGGAAGTGTAATTTCGCGTTTCGGTTATAGTAGGTGGACTTTTAAATATTTAAAGCTACGATAGGTCGACGGCTCATGTCGTTTGGAGGTTAAACGGTTGGTGTATTTTTCCTTCCATCATGTCAATCCCAAACCTGACCTATTTTGTCTTAAAAACGAGAGCCGAAAACTTTTTTAGTCCTGCGTTATGTTTAATTGTATCGTACTCATGTACATGTGTATGAAGGCTACATGGAGCAAACACATTTCTGTGTCCGTTTCATTGATCAGTTCTTTTAACGGGCAAGTAGTTGATCAGACTTCTGTGCCCTGCCCGACCGAAACATTTTTTTTGTTTCCCTGGGATTCGAACCCAGGACCTCTCGCGCTCAACACAATGCTAGGCAATACGTTTAACCATTTGGCTACAGAGGCAGTCACTTATGTACATAGTGTCAATATAAAAATTTAAATCTCGTGTCCCCTTGTGAGGCATGAGGCGAACACATATCTGTGTTCGTTTTACTGATCTGCTCTTTTACAGGCTTTTGGTTGTATAGACATCAATCCTCTGTCACGACAGAACAATCTATTCTTTCCCTGGGATTAGAAATCGGGACCTCTCATGCTTGATTGCTAGGCATCGTTTAACCTTTCGGCTAGAGAGGCGATCAAATTAACTAAGACCAAAGAGTCCACCAGTGTTATATATATGGGTTGAAGCGACATTCAACATTGATCGAAAAAAATGCCAAGAATCCGGAATCTATAACATGAAGACATTGAATAACACATGTCCAGTATGAATCACGAATAGCTGAGAAGTGTAATAACATAGGCCATGCCTCAGGGGTTACGTATAGGACCTGTGTTTTGCCTTTTGTTGTAAATAACGGGACATAATGGCAACTAACTACAACTAAGTGAAATTACGTAATTACATTGTGCTAGGGGCATTAGAATTGCAAGAGGTAATGTTTTTATAACAGAAGACCACAGTCAAGCGGTAAGATAGTAAATGGAATTATTAGAGATTATAGAGTTTTTAATTATTAGTTTTGAACAGCCCACTTTAAATAAGCCGTTTGAATATTATTATTGGTACAACTCGAACTTACGACTATGCATGTGCTTGTCGTAATTTAATGGTGAAAGAAGCCTATAGACTAAACAAGACGCGCTGTCTACGTATTTCGGCTTTGGATATTCAGAATCTCTTGATATATTGTTAATGAATTTATTGTAAGTAATGCTTAAGACATCGTTTTCAGCGATATCAGTAAATCGATCGGATGCAGTTGACTGCAGTGGTGTGCCCGCATTTCCGGCTAAGTGCTAACCTTGTCACTTCCACGGTCAACATTACTGACGCCAATGCGCCTTTGAGGCACAACTTAAATAATAAATATCCATGGCCCAGTGGATGTCGTAATGCACAAAATAACAAAAGAGAACATTATTTAAAGATGAAATATTTTTTTCTCATTTTGACGAATATTTTTAAAACTCTTTTAACGGTTTAAAACGCGAAATGTAATCGTTGAAGTCTACAAATTATCCTAACAACGACCCGACGTTTAAATAAAACACTTTAACGGTTTAAAACGCGATATATAGTTAAACTTATTTGAAAATGATTTTTAACTTCGGCCCGACGTTTCGGATGCTTTGCAGCAGCCGTGGTCACGGGGAGACTACGCTAGTGTCATCTATGTATACTAAGTTAGTATTTGACGTAGAATTCTTGAAAAATCTTATTTTTATAATATGTACCACTCTCAAACATCCAAACGTCGGGCCAAGTTAAAAATCATTTTTCAAATAAGTTTAATAATATATCGCGTTTTAAACCGTTAAAGTGTTTTATTTAAATGTGTACTACTCCGTAAATATAGACAGTATTTTATATTTACGTTAGTCAGAATTCTGTACCCCACCCAACTGATATTAACTTCATAAAATCACTTAATTAACCTTATAAAATAATTATGAAGGGCAAGTTCTACTTCCGAGTTTAAAACCGTTAAAAGTGTGTCACTTCAGGTTAAGGTGTACTGCCTAAATGAAAATGTTCACAGAGGCGGATCGCATGGTAGACGAATATAAAACACGGCCGCTTATCGGCGAATCGACACGCGATGACAGGCTATGGGGGTAATCTTGCTCTTACATGTTACCTACATGTGTGTCGTAATTAACTCATTATGGTTATAATTAGATATTTTCCGTAGAAACAAACAATTAATTCACAGGTCACTACTTCAAACTTCAAAAACGTTTGAACAAGTTACTGCTGTAATTTCTTGGGTAAGTATGGGTTAGAAAGTCCTTACAAACTGTAAAGAATAGTATACGCGAGTATTTACATTTAAATAAAACTCTTTTGATGGTTTAAAACGTGAAATTTATTTAAATTATTACCTCATCACCTCCCGTGAAACGGCTGCTTCAAAGCATCCGAAACATCGGGCTGCAATTATAGTAGTTTGTATAACAGTTTAACTAATTAATTTCGCGTTTTAAACCGTTAAAAGTGTTTTATTTATATGTATTTGGTGTTAGTTCGAAGCTTTTAAAATCTCTCTTCTATTATAGATAGCTTTGCCAAAAATTGGGACTAACTATAATAATGTACCACCAAATCCTATAGGAGTAGTGTAGTGGATTAAGACCCAAAAGGAGACCTGTGTCTCGTAGTAGTGAGAATAACACGTTTTAGACTATGATTGTCTGAATGTCTAAAACAGAAATGGGTCAATTAGAGAATTCTATGCCATGAACCTCCTCTTTTATCATAAAAAATAATATTTATTATCTCATTCTATAAAGTAAGAGAGATAGTCTTTACTAAAGTATAACTTTACTTGATATTGGGGATGTCACTATTTGTAATTTGGCTCGCGCTCCGTCACAACTCTAGCAATAAATTGTCTTTAACGAGAATTCGGCGAAACGTAATTGGGAAAGTTTTTCAGTTTTCAGGATATTGGTTTCGTCGCGACGCATTTTTTTTTTGCTTTCAGGACAGATCAATATCAAGAAGAGTATATTGAAAGAGGTTATTCCTACATTGATAGCAATAATTAAATATGTGATATTTTTACGCGAAGGCTTTGACAATTTTAAATACTAGACTACACTACCAAATAACATTATTAACGGTTTCAATCGAGATATATATTAGTACATTTATTCTTTCTTTTTCTCAATCCTACGTTATACTAGTTTAAACCCGTTAAAAGTGTTTTATTTAAATGTGTACTTTTTGCTTATGTTTTTACAATCAAAGGACTGTACAGTCCGTAAAATATCTATATAATAAGTAGTAAGAGTTGAAAGGTGAATGTTTTCGGAGCGCATTCAAAAATGATTGATAGGCATGCCAGGGTCATTGACCTAATTCAAAAAACTACCCTTCCAGGCCACTGAAAGGCGAGTCTTGAACTACCTCACAATTTATTTAGGATCAAAATCTCTGGATAGACGATTACTATTCATTGCAATACATTTTCCATCACGTAAAATAATTAATCAATAATTATATGAATAATTTTATATTGAAATACTGTCTGTAGTTTACGAGAGTTAAATGTTAATAAGCAGTCAACCCGTGACTACGGCTGCAAAGCATCCATAATGTAGGGCCGAGGTTAAAATAAATTTTAAATGAATTTCACTAATATATTTCGCGTTTAAAACCGTATTTTAAATAATCTTTTCATTACCTCATCACAAGCGGAGCAGCGTGGCTTCAAGGTTTCTGCGTGGTGACGGCCGCAGTAGAGCCGGCCATCCTTCCAGAAGTACACCAGGTCGACTAGAAGTTCTTGGCAAGTGGTGCAGGCGAAGCATGCTGGATGCCATCGCGCTGCCGGTCCTGCCCTGGCAGCGGACACACACATATCTCCAGCTGACATTGCCTCTTCACACTGTAAAAAAAGATCAATTAGTAAATAAAACTGTTTTAAACGGGTTAAAATGCGATTTTTTTAAGTTAACCCTGTGCGTATATTGTTCTATAAAGACCTCAGAATTAAGCGTAGTTAAAGATATTATTATAAAATTTAACAGCTCATCTTGTTTCAATTCAGTGAAATGTAAGCTGTGTCAGTAGGTGTGTGTTCGTCCGCGAAGTTTAGTTACTTTGGCCATCAAAATTTGTTATTACCAACCTCCTTTTCATCTTATAAATCATAGCTTTTACCCACGACGTCGGTCGCGTCCCCTTGTTCTTACTATTTAATTTTAATAAATAGACATAGACAGCCATAGCATAGATTTTATTTCATAAATTGTTTCCTATGTAACTCTAATTATATGCGTAGAATTAATCGATGTATAAGGTGATATTATTCCATCCTTTAACCATAATTGAAGCCACTGCCTTGTTGAGAGAAGGCCGATTGTTCTCTACATGGCGTTGGGACGACACTTTTTTGTTCAGACATCGGTCATAAATGTTAATACCCCATACCCCTAACTGATAACAATAGTTTTAAACTCAAACTCATATCATTTATTCCACAAGACTATTAGCTTAATAACTACTTAAATTTTAAAAAGAGGAAGAAAAAGAGAAACTTAGAAGAGTGCTTGTGAAGTGGGGGGAAGCACTCGGCATGTGCTTCACCCTAAGAGTGGATAAGCGCTGGTTTTCAGTGCCAGCCGCTACTCAACAGCAAGTTCGATTTATCTCGAAGATTGTCAAAGTTATGCCCAAATCTCCAAGCATGTTTGAGAAAAGGTAATTTTCGTACCGTATTTCAACTGGCTTCAAGACACGTATTTTCGAGGTATCCGTGATCGTGTATTTTTTATGAGTATTCGCAAGGTAACCCTGGCACGTACCAGAAGCCTTCTGCGAAACGCGGCACGGTTTTGAAGGCTGGCGTTGCAAGTTTAGTAAAGGAAAGAGAAAAGTGCTTTTGTTTGGAAAAAACTGGATTTTTTTCAAATACTGTCTGTAGTTCACGCGAGTAGTTCACATTTAAATAAAACACCTTAACGGTTTAAAACGCGATATATATTAGTTAAACTTATTTGAAAATTATTTTAACTACGGCCCAACGTTTCGGATGCTCTGCAGGAGACGTTTTAAAACGATAATGTGTTTTATTTAAATATGTTTTTTTCAAAACAATCACGTTGCCTCCTGTATAACCTTATAAGCTCTTTAACTAAAATTAACAATAAAATGCAAGGAAGATAAACACTTAACATATCTCAAGCTTTAATTAAAATTCCAAAACATTTGTATCGTTTTGACTCACCACGCCCCCGTTTTTCAATTTATAATGCACTCAACTTCTAATTTCCTAAAATTTAATAAAACAATATGATATTTAACTACAATTTTGTTAATCTGAGTTTCTAAAACAATTGGAAATAACAATAATTGTAACTAAAATGTATAAAACATTGTCTATATTATGTACTTATTACAATAATGTTATAGACAAACAAACCGATTGAGTTTGTTTGTTTTAACGCGTCAATCTTAGGAACAACTTGAATTGAAAAAAAATCGTGGAAGACTTTAAGTTACCATACGTGCACTGAATAGAAGTGAAAAAAAACAGTGGATAATTTAAAAAAAGAAAAGGAAAATTATTCATCTTTGAGGGATTTCGTTGCGTGCGCTGTAAAAACGGTTTAAGAGACCAAAAAAAAATATGAAAGAATCATTCGTCTTTAAACGATCTAAAAAATATTATATGACAGTATTTGATGTCTTTTAAGACCTACTCGCAAAGAGCGTTTTACGGTAATCAAATTAGGTTGAAATTATAACCAATTATTTCTTAGAGTTATATCAACATAATATTTTAATCTTGCAAACAACAAACGTTTGCCGGAATACGAGTTATCTATATGAACAGAATCATATCGTCTTTAGTGTCGAGAATACACATTTCAATAAAACACTTTAACGGTTTAAAACGCGATATATGCTTCCCATGAGTTTGCATCGAGTGAGTCCCCCTGTGACACTGCTGCTGCAAAGCATTCTAAACGAAGGGCCGTAGTAAAAAAATTTTCAAATAAGTTTAGCGAACGTCTACCGCGTTTTAAACAGTTAAAATGTTTTATTTTAAAGGTACATATTTTGTTATGTAGTCAATAATGAAGAAACGAAATAAACAGTGATAATATTGTTTACAGCAAACAAAAATCTATCAATTAGTACAGTTGAAGATCGGAATTCCGAACAAAAAATGGTGAAATAAAAACTCGAGATAAGGCCCACACTTTTAATTATCGTTTATCGCTTCGTTGTTTTATTTGGGCAGAGATATAGAGTTGTCGACTGTCGGGCATCGATACCATAGTAATCCATTTAATGGTATCAATATACTTTTACACGACACGACTTTTTATTTTTTCGCTGTCTCATCTCATTTTTTTTTTCATATGACAAGATGCTTCTGTAACTAAATGGTTAGATTGTTTCGGTCGAGCTGGGAGCAGAAGATTTATTAACTGTTTGCTTGTAAATAAATAACATATCAGTGAACCAAACACAAAAAAAGTATTCTCCCCTGGCCAACGGGGGAAACGGTATTTTACTTTCAAGGGAATTATACGACGGTACAGCCAAATCATGCTTTTAGTCTACGTATCTATAAATGTATAACATCTAAACAAGATATGCTGTCGACCTATAATCTACACACTGAAACCGAAACACCTTTTAAACTTCACGGATTTCTCATCTTTAGCCTGAGGCAATTTCGTTATTCCTACCACCAATTTTATATCCAGACGAAGTCAAACGTTTCAGAAAAATTATACATTTATCAGAACCACGTTGGTACCAGTAAGGATCGTGCCCACGACCCATTGCATAAACGTGGTATAATTTACGATATATTGTATACGATGGAATCGTGAGTCGTATCGGAGTCGTACACCCTAAAGAACACCGTCTAGTCGAATACAGTTTTTTGTGTGAAATAGTGCGATGCAGTGATTTCATCGCGAGTCGTTCCCACATACACCCGACCTCCGACTACGTTTCGTGTCTTCGTCTTATTTCACACGAAACTCGGTTTTTGGTACTGTATTGGTAATCTAACAATACGCTAAGTGTTTACAGAAATTGGTTTTAACACAAGACCTCTATGAAATACATTTTTATCTTCTTCTTCGTCTTGGTCTACGAGCAACAGGTTTAGTTGATAAAATGCTAACCTTTCATGTCTAATGTGGATGCGCTATCGGCCCATTTCAACTGCCCAAGAAGAAAAACAAAGTAATTCGTAAACGGAACCTGTTTTTTATTTTAGCGTGATGGAAAGTTACAAAAATGTCCATACATTTTTGTTAAACACGGTTTAAATCGGACTATATTACTTAATATTTTTTGAATAAAACACTTTAACAGTTTAAAACGCGAAATATGTTAGTTAACTTATTTACAATTTACAGCAGTAGCTAGACGAAACAAATACATACATTAACTACAGTAGTAAATATATGAACATATATAATTCGCGTTTTGGACCGTTAAAACTGTTTTATCTTAACTACTGGTAACTATACGTACAGAGTTAAATATTAGTTACGTCTTTTCGTAATCTCCGCTATTATTAATACAGTTAACCCTCCTTAAAAATCATTATATTTTTCAAATTTTGATAGATTGAATATAACGGTTTTAAACATGTTCCCGTGACCACGGCTACTGCAAAGCATCCGAAACGTCAGACCGTAGTTAAATAATTTCCAAATAAGTTAAACATATCTATATATATTTTAACCGTTAAAGTGTTTAATTTAAATGTGTACTACTCGCGTAAACTACAGATAGGATAAATTGAATAGTTGCTGAATTAATCACGAACTTTTCTAGAATGACTTCAATGTGGACATTGAAAAACATTCTTTAAGTGGACAGGTTAAAAATCTAGATGGGACCTATGTTAACAATCATGACGTCATGTCCTGCTTCCGGCCAGCTGATGGCGGTCTGGTGGCACGTAACTACGATATAGTGAAAGTATTAGTCATTGACTCTACGCGGCATTAATATTTCAATTATAGAGCGACATAGTGTGTGGAGTCCCGTACCTCTCTACCAAAAACATGAATGTAGAAAAGCCAAGATCAAATAAAAAATTATGCTTAGTTTCGCCGTGAAATATTATGAACAAGTAAACTCTATTTCTTTGCCTTATTGAATTGTAAAAATGCCGTTATTTGCCAGGTTTCATTGCATCGGTCATATTATAAAAAAGCCATGCCAAATCATGATCTGACCGGGATTTGAATACAGGATCTCTCGGCAGGCAGTGCTTGGCAACGCCAACCATTACATCACAGACACATAAGCTCAGTATAGTTTTAAATAAATCACTTTTAACGGTTTCAAACGCGCCATTTTTAGTTTTTAATTAGGTTAGATTAAAAAGACTTCTTTGGTGAAGAGACTATATTGTTCTGTAACACGTTTTTTTTCAATTGAAGAAAACTAACTAAACCCATCAACCGGACCACACCTCGACAAATCATAAGGGATAACAAAAAACAATCACCAACACTTATCACAAAAACGACAAATCAAACATTGATAGTAGCTGACCCGCCCATGGACAATCACTGTTGAAACCGCCTTCAAATTATAAGCGATCCGAAACAAATCTTGAAATAGCTTGGGCTGAAATGTTTAGGCCGCTTATACGAGAACGACTAAAGTACTGCAGCGAGGACGAACGTTTAAATGTGGGAGAAGGTCCATGAATGCCTAGTTGCGACCAAGATATAGCTTATATTTTCCACAAATAATGCGCCACAATTAAAAATTACAATATAGAACTTTAGAACCAACTAACTGACTAAGTTGACGCAATTATTCACAATAGTTTACGCGCCATTTTGCAATAGTTAATAGTTTAAGTGTTTTCCCCTAAACAGCTTT